AAATGAGAATACCTCAGCAACTACCACCGAGCACCTGGTAAGAAAGCTACTCACACACAACTATTATGCAACACAATAGATACAAAAGGTCTTGACGGCCAATTCGAGGTTTTGTGCACTTCCTATGTTTGTACTTAGGTAAATGTGAACACTTGTACATCTGTGATTCGGAAAATATTCGCCGCCCTGTGCAATAAATGTTTACTTACAATAAGCTGCCACCCCTGTGCCGCCACCGAACGTTTACTTAACATGGTCGGAGCAGCCGACTAGGTGAGCAGGCGTAATCTGGGGAAAAGTGGTAAATTTATGGTAATAGCCACAGCTGTTGCTCTAATTACCGACAGATACTCAAATTGTCTGTGTGTGTGTTGGCTTTTTTGGCCAGTCGCCTTACGTTGTTCAATCAGCTTGTCTGGGTTTTAGGCGAGTGCTTATGTGTGTCGGTGCGGTTTGCGTGCCAGCAAACAAGGTCTGGCCTGCTTGGCGTATTTAAGCCTGTAAGAGTGACAAACCGAAGTTCAATTAATATCGGAAAAAAGTGAGCAATGTGTGTGTACTTTTATACATGAAGGCACTTGCGCTCATTCACACCAATTAACTATATTTAGTGTATATGGATAGTGAATTATATAACAAGTGTGCCAGAATAACTAATCGAATTAATTTCGAAACATTCCCCTGATGATGCTCACACCACTGGGTCTCAAGGTCAAAAATTGTAGTGTCCAAGCTGTCTCACAATCTTCTATTGGAGAGGCAAGTACAAGCTAACGAGTTCCATAACTCTGGGAAGAAATCTTTTTTTAACAGCAAACAAATTTTTGGTAACTACAAATTGTTGTTGTCATGCTGTGTATCCCATTCCTGTGTATCCAAAGCAGATAAGAACACTGTTGTCATATATTCTAATTTAGCGAGATCTGTGTTATGTGCACAAAATCCCCCGTTATGACTTAATTCCCGTTGACAACGCCGCCATATTGTGTTTGTCAACGTTCGCCGCTTACCATTTTCAAAAATAACAACAACCCAAATACAGTTACAACATATGCACGTACATTTGCAGCCTTTGAAGGTGCCGACATACGACAACAGCAGACACTAAGCGCCGCGCTCACACTGCCACAGTGCCACACTTTATGAAAACACGTTCGTGCAACATTTTGGTTTAATGGGGGCTGTGGTGCCGGCCTGTACTTGGAGTACCTCCCAGGCACTTTAGAATATATCACGCGTGTGTGCCAGGTTTTTGATTCAGTTTGATTGTTTTCAAAAGTTACATGTTATTGTGGGTTTTATTGCAGCAAACTTAGTTATCGTCGCTAATACGAGTGGAAAGTCGAAAGCACTACTGTGACGACCAACTAAGTTCTTCTCCGCCGACTCGGGCTCGCCAATAACACGCACGCACACATACTCACACATACAAATGTTGTCGGACACAAATAGTTGAAATTTTGCAACAGTGCGATCTCGTGCTGCACAGTTGAGCTGTCAGCTGTCTGTTGTCAGTTGGTGGCACTTTAAGTGGTGCTTCTAATGCAATTATGTTATTTTGTATTTGCTCGATGTACCTGTAGATCTGCAGCAGCAGTCGACGCATGCAACAATCGTGTCGTTTCAACGGCACCACTATAATATCATTAATGCTGCAAATATGGTGAGCAGCCATTGTTGCTGCTGTGTAAAGTAGTTATCATCACTTTGAGACAATCATCGTTGTTGGCCATTCATTGTTGCTGTTGAGGGTGTAGTTGATGTTGTTGGTGTATTTGAGGCTGTTGCGCCTGCTGCGCATCAACTGGAACTTGAAACGTGCCAAGTGAAAGTCATTAAGTTGACAATTACACCTTTACAGTGCACGCACACACGCACTGGAGGAACCACACATATACAGGCATATGCGTGTAAGGCTGGGGATTACGCCACACCAACACATCGGCAAACACACTTAGCACTGCCATTAACACGCTCACATTCCCTCTCCCCCTACCACCGCTCACCTATACTCACCGCCGCTAGCTTAGAGTGAGCATTTCTTCACAGCGCAACAGTCGTCATCTTCAATCTGTCATTTTTAAGCAAAGTTTACATTACCCAAGTTATGGCAAATATATCCTTTTGTTACTGTTGTTGTTGTTGTTTACGGTGCGTATCATCTCTCTCTATGGCATTCCATCACATAAAGTAGCCTCATCAACCCACACAAGGCACGCTAAATAGGTTGTACGAAGCTCGTAGTTGACTCGTTGAACTTTCAACTTTGGCCGCTGCGTTGCAAATGATTTTTTTTGGGTATTTATTTAATTCGCATTTGGTTGGTTGAACTTTCGTATTGTTTGCCATTTGTTTCTATTGTCATATTTTGTCGTGCGTTGCATGCCAACTTGCCAATTGCTGCTGTTGTTGTTCTTGTTTTTGTTGTAGTGCGAAAGTGTCGAGACACAAATTTTGCTAAGTGATTAATTCATTTGACCGCCGAGTGGTGCGGTGGCGTGCGAACTTTGCTTAATATTGTAACTTTATTATAAATGTTGAGCCCTTTAAAATTGGTCATTCTCTCCGAAACGGTATAATTAAATTGTAACAAATGGCATTTTTGCACCTAATTGAATTTGTGAAAGTTATAATTTGGATTTAAAATAATTATACAAATGTGGTAGTCTCTTTCATGCGAGCAATATGTAATGTAACAAGAACCCGTTATCTTGGGTTGCATCGGATCTGTAATTAATTGCACAAATAAAAAAGTTTTCAAACAAGAACTTGATTTCAACATGATTTATGACAGCTATATAGTATAATTGTCCGATATAACGGTTCAGACAAATTATCAGCGTTTTTGGGAGAAAATTTCAAGATATCTCAAAAATTGTCGGATTAGTTCGCGTATATACGACAGACGCACAGATGGACATAGCTAAATATACTCAGCTCATCACGCTTATCATTCATATTATATTTTATAAATGCTCCGACGTTTCCTTGTGGGTCTTAAAAACTATATCTTCGTGGCAAACTAAATATATCCTGTTCAAGGTATAAAAATACTGCAGAATTCTACACATTAAAAAAACTTGCCTGTCAACTTCTGTCAATATACGTATAGATCATACATCTGAAGACAAACATCATTTTCAGATGATTTCACCTTAACTACTTGCGCACTGTTGCTCCTAATTGTGACTGCAGTTAATTAGTGCAATGTTTTAACTCTTTTTAATATCTTCTAATGTTTCTGCTTGGTTGCCTTTTCACATTCGTTTCCTCTATAAAATTTTACAACGACAGTAAATATCCGATTTCCCATAAATTCTTGAATTTCGGTATGACTTGAGACATGCTTCAATGGGGCTGCAGATGTATACCGTTGACCTTTATGTTTACAGTTATGCAACCATAAATCAAACGCAGCAAGTCATATAAAGCAAACAAGGCCGACTGCTGTGGCACACACTGACGTAAATGGACCCGATGACCGCAAAGCAATCAAACGCAGGCAAAATAAAATGCCGACAATAAACTTGGATCGGTAATGCCGTTTTGATGTTGACTAAATACCTGAGAAGTGAATGTGCACGAACATTTACTCTGAAGCTGAAATGTATCGATTTTAAGAGAGACCTTAGCTATTTTTCAGAATTCCTATTCAGCACGGAATTCAGGTTTCGAAGATTGACCTGTTTAATCTATTTTGTATGTTTAAATATGTATTGAGTTCAGTTATCTACGCAGATTTTAAAATTTTACGCTTCTCACATTAAGTTTTTTTTCCTGCGTAAGAAATCAGTGAGCCGCTAGCAACACATACCAATATTGTTTCATGTTTCCTCTAGAAGATATATTGTTTAAAGTAGTCACGTGCGTTTCTGGGTTGCTCATACGTCATGGCGTACACTTTGTGCGTGTGCTATTTTCAGCATCTGCCATTATTCCGCAGTTCATGTTCATGTTAATGGTACAGTTGTGCGTTGACTTTAAGAAAGCAATTCTAATTTCTTAGTTACACATTCATTGTGCGCACTTCCATTTGCTGCGCTCATTCAACTATGCTGAAAATTGAAACTTGACGCATAAGCACACATGTCTTCGGTACTTACTTATGGTTGTCTACGTACAAGGCGTCGAAATACTTCGCAAAGATGAAAAATCAACACAGCAATTCAATTTGCCAGAGTAAATTTGTGCAGCGCCAACTCTAAAGACTTCTTAAATTTCGTTGGCTCTACGAAAATAATTATTTTCCATTCTCTTGACTACATTTAGTTGTGGCAAACTCACTCCCCAGATTCTTGACATTTGATCTTTGGGGGAGGGGAAAGGTAAATATTTGTATAGTTATAAGAGCTTTGCTCACTTTTGAGTAGCCGTTGAGCTTAAGTAGCCGTAAGCTTATGTTGGGGGTTACGAAATTGCTAATTAAAACTAAAAAATTATTGAACTAAAAAATATTAAACAAATCATATATGACTAATCAACAACGCAGATCAGAGCTTTAAGGGCGAACTAAAACTAGAAAATTAACAAAAAGAGCAAAATAGTTTTAGCATTATGTATGGGGTGTAACTAGTAAACTGCTCTGGTGTTCAGCTTCAGCTTCGCCAGAAATATAACTTCAAAATGGTCGTAGTTAGATCCGTGTGTTGTAATTTCTCTTAAACTATTCACGTATGTATGTATACAAGAATACTGTTCTATCTTGAGATTCTTTGAATTTGGCCTTAAAATTTTACTTAAAAATATTCGCAGACTGTTTTAGTTTCCGCTCTTCTTCAAATTATTTTGGCATGAACGATTTCGAATGCAATTATTCATAACAAACTCAAATTAGACTTTCTTACTTACCTTCTTGATAAGCAGAGTGATTTTTCTAGTTAAAAATCACTGATCTATTTTCTCTAACCCATCCTTATAAACAGATTTATTCTGCTGTGATGTTTGGCAACGCCTAATACAGCCAAAATTTATTTTCGCGAATGAAATGAAACCAAAAGTGATTCAGTTTTTTTTATAGACAGTTTATTTTCAAATCTATATATTGCCAGCATTTCTAGTTACAGTTATTAATATTATTATTATGGTTTTGTTGCAATTGTGAATTCATTTGATCAGTTTAGCTGAAAAAATATACCCTCAAAACGCTCTATGAGCATGGATAAACTATCCGTCTACATTTAATCTGTTTACAAAGTTATTAACAATCCCGGGATATACAAATGTTCAATGGGTTTATACACGTTTACAATAGGACCACAAAATCTCGTTTTCAATGGGAATACATTGCTCGCAACAAAATTGAAAAATAAACTTAGCACACTAATCCACTTAGGCGTATTCAAATTGTGAACATACATACATATAATAGAAATGCGATTGCGATAACTAAGCCTTATATACATTTACATACTATGTATGAGTGCACAATACATAAATGATTATGTGGTAACCTACACACATACATCTGTAGAGTAAATAAATGGCTGATTGCAGAAAAATATTTCAAGTTTTAACTTTTGCCTGTATATACACATATATATGTACAGTTATATGATTAATATGACGCAATGCCTTAAACATATGTACTAACAATCACTGTTACATCTACTTACACATACGAATTTATAAACACTTTTGATTTTTGATTTGCGAATGCACAACTAAGTACTTAAGTTTACAGTACAGTTCCATTTATACACATTGGTTCAATTAATGTCCACTTATAAGTAAATATATGTATATAGGTGTTCCCAAGACTATCAGAAGACTTTTCGAGTTCTTAAAAAACGTAGTAAATCATTCTAAATACTATTAAAACTTTGTTTTTGTGTCTCTTTAAAAGCGTATCGTTTACTTTCACTTAACTTATGCCACTAGAAACTATATACTTACTTACAAGTATATTTGTAGTTGATTTTCTCTCTATATATTGTATACTTGTACATATATGGTGTATGTATAGTTGTGTATACATACATATGTGCCACCGCTATATATATGTGTCTGTAACAAAAGTACATTTAATGACGAAAAATCCTTTAATTGGCTTTTGGAAGATGGCTGGGACATGTGACTTGTGTCCAGATTGTCAGCGCGCTGTAGCTATTCAACTGTTGGCCGGAGGATGAGCGGGTGAGCGGGTTGCCACATGTCGAGGCAGTGCAGAAGGGCAGCGAAAGAGAGGTAGAGAGTATTGGAGACCTAATTAACACCAAAATCTTCCAAGTGCGTTATTTACTTTCGGGTTAATGAGATTACATACACATGCTTATATAACACACTCACACACACACACACATATACACTCATACATGCGTGCAGATTATATTTGCACACAAACGCTAAATTGAGTTGAGATGCGCGTAGCGCTGTAAAAGAGTGTGGCAGCCACAAAACGGCAGTGAACATGAGTGTGTTCGTATGTGTGTGCGAATGGATGTGTGCTGATGTGCTCAAGTTGGTTTCCCGTTTTCGTGAGGACACAAAATGCAGTTTTAATTAACTTTGTGCACCACCGCCGAGAAAGCCAACTTTTCAGCAATCACACACAGGCACACAGTCACAGCGCCGCTCACGACTCGCGCTATTCATTCGTTCCCTTACTCAAATAAGGAAATGAAATTGGCTCATGTAGCAAAAATAAACAAAATGGCACTGCACGCACACACACTTACATACATATAATGTTATATAATAAATATATACAGTTGCAACAGCCACTGCAACCAAATGACTGGCTGCTGAACTCGCCGCTTGGCGGTGACGAGCGGTTTATTTACCTTTAAGTATCGAACTTCAGTTGCTATCAAATCACAAATTCGGTGAGTTGGTGTTTGTATGTGTGTGTGTGCTTATTGCTTGTCAAGTTACATGTGCTTGGCCGTTGTCTGTCGGTTGGACGATTTCCTATGGTCGAGTGCGCTAATAAACTTAAACTGCAACAAATTAACATATTAAGCTATTATACTTGTATTGTATTTGTTTAACACATTTCGATTTTATTTATCAAATTTCTCAAGTGAACTACTTAATTATGTTTTGTTAAAATGTTATGTTAAACTATAACTATTAACTACATTTCAAGCAAAGTCAATAATAATATTAATTTTATAACGCATAATAAATTTACTCTTACAAATTGGGGGGGAATTGAAGTTTACTGACCAATTTTTGTAAATTCACAGAAAATATTGAAATAAAAGTAGAGAAAGTGAATCAACAACGAAGAAATAGCTTTTGTGGAATCAAGTGAGTCTTCCCAAAGCTAACAAATAAATTATAGCGTTCGATCAGAGCTTGCTTATTGATTACACTTGTGAGAAGAATATAAAACTCCGCTAGCTGGCGCATGGGTCGAGATATTGCCAAATCAGCATTTATTATCTGATGTACATATATCATATTCGTGAGCTATAAAAATGCAAACATAATTTTTCTTTTTTTTTTGCTAACATGATATCGTTTTAGGAAAAAATAGGGTTGCATTTTGCCGGAATCTACTACAACAAGATCTAAATATTGCCTACTGCAAAAGGTTTTCTTTATTGAAACAACCAACAGAATATTCTAAATAACATGACCCACTCAATGTTTAATTCCAAAATGAAGACTTTAAATATACTTTTCGGAAGGTTTTCGTATGACTGTTATTGGGCTTTATTCGGTATTGGCCTTGGAACCACTTTTATATCCAATAGTGCGGAACAAAATGCTGTTCAATTATATCGAACATTCTTTTCTAAAGCATTTTTGACGTTTCCTATGGACTGGGAGTCTCGCTGATTGAAAATCTCCGCTTCACACTCAATTAATTTCGATTTGCTGTGAAGTCACCATGACACCACAAGATTCCCAACTGAGTTATCAATGTCGCACTTGATCCACCATAATGATGAAACTTTAATTTTTTTTTATTTAAAATAAATTAGGAAAAATTGTCACAACAGGAGCAAAAAAGTCAATTACTCACCGCAACATCGCTTTATTTGCTTATATATTTACTTACCAAAGAAATTGCTGCCAAATTTCCAGGCGAGTTCACTTCCATGAGCAAACACTTACAACTCGAAGCATCCGCGCGGGTGAATGTGCGGCAGCTGTGTGTTTATTTGCAGCGGAAGTGCCATATTTGCACACACACACTCACCCAACCGCATGTACTTTTCATTCTAGTCACATCACATTCTCAAGTGGTATTTGTGTATCGCATATGCTCGGAAAGTTCTTCGTTGCTTGTTATTTGCATAAGGAGGGAATTACACGCGAGTGCATCGATGGCGCTGCGTGTGTGCGTGGTTGGGGTAGTGCGGTTGCGGGTGTGGTGGCGAGTTTGCTGAAATGTCGCAAGGGCATGGCGGGCGACAGCGCTACTCTACACGAGTTGCCATAGGTGAATTTGCCACTTCTTACTGACTTTCGTCTGTTTGTTTGTTTGCTTGTTTGCTTTCGCTGCTTGCTTTGGTGTACTTCTTGTGAATCAACCGGCGAGGAAGATGTGCAACATCAATGGAATCACTGGGCGGGGATTGGTTGGATGGTGTTACTCTTTTTGTTGTTGGTGTTTACTGTTATTACATGCTGTGTATTTCAGTTGCATGCTCCGTTCGGTTAGTATCTGCAAAACACGAGTGAGCAACACAAACAATGACTGAGTTAAGCCGACTCCAGCTTTTTTAGTTTTTCAAATATGCGTTTATGTGCACATGCCGTTATGCAACAGACAGAGTGCTTGTAGGACAACTACTTCAGAGCCACTTGCGAGGCAGTGTAGCATGTGGACGCACTTGACTCACCTCGTTTGCATGTGTTGTAGCGTGGCGATACAAAAGTAACGACCACGCTACTCAACTACTCTCAGAATCAAATCTTCCCGCTGCGGCTGGGCAGCGTGCGTTTGCGTCCGCAGAGAATGCGTTGGAAGGCGCGTCGGAACTCTGGGTTGAAAATGGTGTAGATGATCGGGTTGAGTGTCGAGTTGAAGTAGCCCAGCCAGAGAAATAGTGATGTGAGTGCGGCGCTGATGTTGCATTCTTTGCAGAGCGACAACATGAGCGCCATGACGAAGAACGGTAGCCAGCAGATGGCGAAGACGCCCGTGATGATGGCCAATGTTTGAGCGGCTTTGCGCTCGCGTTTCGCTTCGAGCATTTGACGGCGTTTAGCCAGCTTGTGGTACGGATTTGGTATGCTCGAGAGCAGCTTGTTGGTTGAGCTGGCTTCCTTGCCGGCTGTGGGCGGGTTTGTACCAGCGATAGCCAAGTCCTGTGCTGATGTGGTTAACGTAATTGCGATCGATTGTTGCTGGTGCGCAGTGCTGGCCACCTCTTGCGAGACTGTGGAGATTTCACCAATAGCGGAGATTTGAGACTGTTTAGTAGGGAGCAAAGTGAAAATTACATAAAAAAAATTCTTAAAAGATACGCGAATATTAAACTTTATATATGAAGTTTTAAACTCGATTAGAAATATAAAATAAATAAATTAAAGCTAAAAGTTATTTTCGTGGTGAAATGACATCTTCAAAGAAGAAAAAACTCCTCTTTCTTGGGGAACATCTTATTCAACCCCGAGTGTTTCATAGAAAGAAGTTTCCGAGTGCAAATTTTGACAATTCTTGCTTGCTCTTTCAATTGATTAGTTTCTTTGTATAGAGACCTTATCTATATAAAGAGCATCAGGATTCCTGGAGCTAGATGACCAGTCGTAGTTCTAGAACTGAGTTAGTACTCTGCTTTGTTGCTCTTTTTAAAGATAGTTTTAGAATTAAAAAATAATAATGTTTAAACACTTCAACATTGATTTCGAGCAACATTTTCATTTTCAGGTAAAGGCAAACAGGAGTAACTTACGCTATCACGTACATATAATATATGGCAGAGTTTTATTTTGCACTAGCAGCTCTTTTAGCGTTTTTTTACATAAAAAAATGCTTTAGCAGCAAAAACTTGCATATCTAGTGATAGTTAGCCGTTCGGAACGCGACGGTCATCAACAAGCCAAATGGTCTAACATTCGAACTGCTGGTGGATAAATTCTTACATGTAACAGTATATAGGTATTTCTTGCCCACGGGTTATTAGTAATGTTTACCATAGACCGAGTTTTACCTGCATATATAACGATATGCCATACTTTTGCTTGTTTGATTTTGCATAACAACAGATGCCTTTTATCCACGCATTTAATATATAATTTACTGACATATTATTTATTAGCGCTCCGCTTAGTTAAAATACGTATCCTCAAGTCGCTGGCAATAGCTTAGTATGAAGTCAAGAGCATAACTTTTTCACTTATTTTTTAATGACTTCATCGGCATGTTTCTAATACAATCCCGATTATTGAATTTGAATGTGTTACTGTTATATTGGTTGAATATTTTAAGAACGCTTACCTCTTCCGCTTCCCCCGACGCCGTTGTCACCTCGGTTGCGTGACTTTTGCTATCAAAGTTGCTGGTGCTATACTCGGTCTCCTCGCGCATGTTGCTGATGCTAAGCGAGTTGCCGACGTTCGTTTCCATGTTATTAGCGACGACGACCGCGTTCTGTTCCGTCTTGCCAAAGCATATTTTTAGGTGCTTACGTTTGCGTTGCATCGAAGCGGAGGAGCTTTTCTGAAAGAGATGAGAATGAGAACAGTGGAAAGTGAAAAAAGTTTAATAGACTCAAAGCATTAGCGTAAAAACACTTGGTTGTATGTACTAAGCTCATTCGGCAGCTCCTGTGGGATATGACTGCCATTATTTTCTTGCGATAAAAAGATGGAACGAAAACGAAGATAATATTTCGCAGCTGCTCATGCGGCAGACAAACAAAATAAATCATTCATGCAGGCAAACGAAGACGAAAAGACTTCTGATTGTACATTACTTTTTTACTTAGCGCTTAAGCCTCGAATTACAGCTACAGCCAGATCTTTCACTTTTCATTCTTGCCCACTCCGCTGAGCTATATTTTCGCATATTCTCACACTACTTTCGGCTCTGGTGTTAAGAAAATTACTTACGCTCTGCATAAAGTATGTACATATTTGCATTCCTTTGCTTAAGCTCAACTATGTGCGAAAGTGCGCACACAGCGACACTTGCTTGCCTGAGTGCATACTCAAGCCTCTTAATGCACCCCGTTGAAGTGGCATCATTACTTCACTTAATGACACACTTGCCGAAATAAGAAAGCATCCACCAACATATGTAGATGGCTTTGTAAGCGCCGAATGCATGAAAAACAAAAAATACACATGCCGAGCCACACACACATAAAGTGAGAGGCAGAGGCAGAGGCAGAGTCAGCGTAAACGATAAAAAGCCTCATTGAGCGCAGAACAACATAAGCAATAACCGGGCAATTGTCTGTTGCTGCAGCAGAGAGATATTGCTGAAAAACTTCTCGAAAAAATCGCCTTCTTCTCGCCTTATTTCTTCTTTTGTGCCACTCAAGCATTAATGTTTTCATCTCGGCTCCTTTGCGAATGTTTCTATTTTTTGCATTTCTCTCACTCGCCGCTCTTTGGCAACGTGTCGGCACAGCTGTTGAGTGTACTTTTACTAATTTATGAGATCTGTTTGCACTTTGCATGTGAATAGGCTAGTAATGCATACAAACTTATTTGTTTGGCGAATAACAAAGGGGATACCGCCAGGTGCCTGCTCGAGCACTTTCCAAAAACGTCCGCGTGTGTGTGTGTGCAGACAGAAGGGTGCTTAAGGATGCACATAAAGGAGAATACAAAATGAAGAAATGAAAGGGATGTAGACAATAAAAACTACGCTGCAGATGTTGGCAAAGTATTGTGGTTCCGATTTTCGCATTTCTTCCGTTTCTCCAGCGTTCTCAATACGCCGAGTTGAAAAAGTGCTTACTGTGTATATATGTTTTGGTTTTCTCCTTTCTCTAGGTTAACGACTTTCTCTCCTCGCCTCGGTTTATCAGTGTTTGCCTAAGCGGCAGATAAGATTGATGTTTATGTTCTATTATGACTACTTATGGCTAATGTACATGGAAAATGCGCTGGTACTCTCAAATACATATAAATATATTCTAAGTGGGCTGAATAATTGCTTAGTTATTATCACAATTTTTAGGTTGCTTATAAAACGCGGTGTGAATGGATTCGAAGTTGACGTTTTATCATTGGATTAGAATATAATAAATTAAATAATAAATATTATAATAAGAATATAAGAAGCGTGAAGTTTTTTGTTTTATATGGCTGGGAGAAGTCTTGGAAAGACTATGACCAAGTGCTATTATACAAGTACGTAGCAATGATAACGTCTGAACCAAAAGCAAACAGCTGCCGGCTCATATAGAAATTCGACGTCGTAAATCGAAATGGATCGGTCATACTTTGCGTCAATATTACCGAAACAAGGGTAGACTGGAACCCTCAAGGAAATCGAAAATGCCGGAGACCAGTCAACAGATGAAGAAATCTTGTACTATAGCAAATATTTATAGCATACGTGGTTGTAGGGCTTATATATGTTTAATCCGACTTGAGAAATCTATTGGAAAGATAAAAAGCTGAGAAGACCTAAAATGGTAGAAAGTAGCCGTGGTTATACCCTAGAATTGGTTCTCGGATATGAATTCGCCTTTAAGCTTTATTTTGTACCATAAAATATCGCTATTTCTTGATTGACCTCTTTTGAGGTTTCGGATAGTATTAAGGCGTGAAACTTGTCGCCGATTTGTCATTTACTTAATTAAGCAATTACTACACAAATGAAAGGGCGTTGATTGGCTTCGGAGACTGCAAAGAGCATGCACTCTGTCGGTATGGGCCAAAGCGAGTTCAAACGTTAGCCATGAAAACACATATTTGTCATTTCATTGCATATTCAATAGCGGGTAATTTTGTTGTTGCTTTTTCGCAAAATGCATATGAAGTAAATATAGTCCTATATTTGTGTACATTTTTTCCAGAGTATATGTTTGCTCTCAACTATGTTTATAGATGTTGATCATACAACGGTAATGCCTAGAGACGCCTATCTCGACTCACACGCGCTGCTGCTCATATGGACCCGCAATGAAAGAGTGGCAGACACCAAGCGATGCAATGGGTGAACGCTTTCAATTTGCTGCAAATGCCAATGACTGGGTCTATGAGATTGGGTCACGGGCAATTTCATTAAAAGCCTGCGAACAGTGGCCGCCACAAAGTGGGTGTAGAGCATATGATGAATAGCCAGCTGTAGGTGCCGTCAATTGATTGCAGCTACATTTTGTGTGCAACTCTGGAGGCAAAATGTTGCCGGCCAAAGCGGAGGGACGGGGTTGGAGTGGAGGCGACTGTAAATTGATTGTGTTCTTGCAATGCCATTAAGAGCTCTAAAACGATTGCCTATTGACCACCACTCAATCGATTGCCGGCGGCGACATGCAACAGTAAAGTGAAAATACGCACAAAAAACTATTAGCCAGAGGTGGCAACGCTGGTGGTTGCAGACTACTGGTCGGTGGCACTTACCTGATTGTGACTAGGTGCCACAGGGAGTGGGCGTTGTTGGATGCGTCGCTGGATGCGTCTGCGTGCGATTTTGTAGATATTCCAGTAGAGCGCCAATATGGCCAAAAGTGGCACATAAAATGTGCAACATGTTGCAAAAATCTAAAAGTGAAACAAATAATTGGAAAACAATATTATTTATAGCAGAATATTTTATTATTATAAAATATTAGTTTTACAAATTTTCTGGTTTTGGAGAAGTGCTCGCGTTTACCTGATATCCCACATCCTGTGACACCATACAAATTTGTCTTTCGATTCGTTGCATGTAATCCGGATCCTTCCAGCCGAGCAACGGAGCCAACGAGATTATGAGCGCTGTAAACCAGACGCAAAAAATCATGCAGAAGACGCGACCTCGTGTGCGCACGTTGCTATAATCTATATTCGTTACAGTCCAGTATCTGAAAAGAAGAACAAGAAATAAAAAATGACGTATAAGGCAAGTTAAATATAGTAGTTTCCGTAAGTAATTGAGAATTTTGCTTTTCTTGATGCCCCAAAATAATAATATTTAATTCAATTGCCAGTCACTGCCTTCGTTTACCGTTTTGAAGTTACGTGCTGTCAATTAGGTTTTACCATAGCAGACTACTTTAGCCAGGCTAATACACCATTATTCTCATCTCATAACTTTGCTATGAGTAGGAGCACAACTCTCGTCCTAACTATGTTCCTTCCATGTGATTTAAAGTGTCATTTTTGCAGTCGTAATCGGCAATTCCAGACTCAAGTTTACCCTCAGGCAAAAACCAGCCTTCCCTTGTGAAAGTAAAATCAATATATCGGCTATTGTATGAGTGATTAACAACAATAGCTTGGTAAGTGCCTTTTCATGTGTTTGCGAATCAACAAATTATTTTGTGTGTATATATGTGTAATGACAGCGCATTATGCCACACCCACACGGATTGTTGATTGTATTCAGTAAATTAGTTTTGATTTCAAATTAGTTTTGGCTTTGGAACATCAACACCAAAAAACAATAAATCAGATAGCTCATCACGTCAATAAGCAAAAATAATCAAATTATTACCTAGTAAACCAAACTCGTGCCATAAAGATATACTAACTACTACAATGCTTCTGAAGACATTTAAATAATTACTATGGCAATGTCAGTCAATACTCAGTGGGACAACGTCCGGTATGTTTTACGTGAGTACCTGCCGTCGACGGCCTTACCCGGTGCTCCAAAGCACAACGTATCAAAACAATGCGTTAATAAGCGCCCCAAATAATACGAGCTTTTTGCAAGTATTAATTTGGTTACCAGTGGCCAGTGTGTAGGGGCACACCGACCATCTTGGTAAGATTCGAGGCCGACCTAAAACCTCTTCCGTTTTCGAGTACGGAACCCAGTTGCTTGTGCAACTTCTTTTTTTCGAACTGAAATTCAGTTCTTCCAGCGTTTAGGTTTAAACCACAGCCACCACGATACTCACCAAAGGGCCGAACCCAATGAGCAGATTGACCCGAAGTCCAAGGGCATTCAACTCCCCGTGGTACAAGAGTTGAGTCTACGGTAAGACTGTGTAGCCAAAGCTACTGCCAGTTGAGTCCGGCCTTACTCAATGACTGGTGACATTTGTCGCTTGAACTTCAAATGTCTTTTTATTGGAATCTCATTTAAAGTCTATAATATCAGTTCAAACTGAGTATTATAGCACTATTTCTGACATCATTTACTATGCTGATATTTCTGGGCAAAATAAAATAACAGTCGTAGTGCATTTGGCTTTTAGTCGCCTTTTACGACAGGCATGCCTTACCGCGGGTAAATTCTTACCCCTACCCGCAGGGGAAACTCAGTGAGACAGTTGATTTTTACAAGTTTCTTCTGAAACGAAATTTTCATCACCAAATGAATCGCCATAGACAGGGACAGATAATCTTCAGTCAGCGCCAGGTCCACTTTATAGTGATGCAGAATAACCTCCCAAACAAGCTCCCGGAGCTACTGGCACGTCACTATCGATGTGTTTGGTCAGGTGTGTCCTGAAGTAACACAATTCCTCATTATTTGCCTGCTTCAGCGCGTTTATTTCCTTCAGCCGATCTAATTGTCGGCGGCACAAGTTTGAATTAACTCATAGCAGATTAACTCTGCAGATACCATCAAACACAAAACATTCCAGAACGTCAATTATTCACCGCTTGCGCCGGTAAGCCTGATTTAAGTGGTGCCATACGGTATTTGGTCCAATGTTTAGCATTTCAGTTTTTTTATTTCGAAATCTTATCTTTCTCGCAGCATAGCGTAACCCTAACGTGCTTATACAACGCGAGATATTAATTACTGAAGTCATCTATTGGAAAATAATTAAGGTAGGTTAGGTAAATAGTATTGCAAGATAGGAATTAGTACACCTATATTAACAGTATTATATTATTTTAGGGCAAGAGTTGGGAATAATTTTGACTCTGAAGTAGAAACAAAATAAAAAATTATAATTTCAATAACCCTTTAAACGCGTTATAAAGAATTAAGAGGGCGTCAACTTATATATTATTTAATTGTGAGAATACATATTTCGCATATTTTAAAAAGAGTATTCTCATCATTGGGGAGGGATCACAAGCTTTTCAGGACAAATAAATATTTATGCGAGTCCATTAAAGTGGATATTTGCAGCTTGCACCCAATTCTTTGGCTTGCTGGGAATCAACTATGCATTTATTGGCATTGTTCAAATTGTAGTCACAGTATTAGTTTGTTTGTATGTTTGACAGACATTTTTGGCATTCCGATAAAATACGGTATCTATGTTAGATAAGTGTGTGTGAGCGCTTTATTTGTGCGAACATTGTTTTTGTTGTAGCCAGCCGACAGCACAGGTGAGTGACTTTGACTTTGACTTTTGAAATTAGCCATGAGCGTATTTTGAGCAAAACCGTAATATTGTAAAAATGAAAAAAAAGCACAAATTTTAATTTCCACCGGACGATTTGTTTGTCTATCGCAAAACTAACGTTTGCATAGAAATATATGTGTGTGTGTGTGTGTATCTTCATCCACTTATTCATTTTTAATGCTATTATTGCTACATGCCGCAGCCGGCGTGCTGCCGCCAAGTTGCGCTCTTCCCGCGGCGGCAGCGACAACAACGACGAACAGCTGTGTCTGTGTCTGGAAGCTATAAATATGAGCAGGCGCGTATTCGTGTGTGTGTCGGTGTATTCGCCGAGGTGCAGTAAATTAAATTTGTTTAATAAACATCCTAGGAGTTAAGCTGAGAGTGACATGACCCAGTGACGTTGGTATTTATACGCCAAGCAGCAATTAATATCACCACTATTTGAATATATTTGTAATTAATTACAAACATATCTCAATTACTGAAAATGACATTAAAGTTTTTCCTTTTAAATGCAAATAAAGACGCACTTGCGGGAATACTTTAAATTGAAAATAAATTCATAAACGTTAATCAGTTGACAACCGACTATAATACTCGCAGTAGGCGAGAGTAGCAGCAATAACAATAAAACTGAAGGATTTATCTGCGCTTGCTCTCACACAGCCCCACCCCCAAACCGGCCGACTTCGGTGATTGACATTAATTACATGCGGGTGTGGCGAGCGAAGTGGATGGTTAAGCTTTATGGCTTTAATAAAGTCGCTGCAATTACTCATAATTCAATGAAAATAAATGGAATAATAAAATGTAAATAAATAACTGATTTAGGTATTTACTGTGGCGAATTGTTTATTTAAATTCAGCTGCTGCACATCTCCGTTACACGGACATACATATGATATATGTAAGTGCATAAAACAAAGTTTACAAATGCGATGTTGTTGTTTCGGAATGCCAATAAATTATGGTTAGTAGAAACTTTCTATTTAGTCAGTGTTGATATTCGCATTCAAATATTTTTACTGCAATAAATTGAATTTTTATGTTTTTTCAAAATGGAAAATATAGCTAAATATGCATTTAGGCTTCAGAGTGCAAACCATTATACTTTTCGGCTTTATAAATTACAAAAACAAAAAAACATTTTAACATAAACTTGAAACGATTTTGAAATAAAGATTTCTGCACGAACTTTGAAAATGGTAACTCATTGCTTACTAAATGCTAAGTACAAGTACGAAAAAATGTAAGGGATTAATCACAAAATCCGCACAAAAAAAGCTGCAAGTTTTATGGAATATGATTTTATCACAACATTCCGGTCCAAGCTGTTTAGCTGCATATTTACTCTGAGAATATTTATCGACTAGAAAATCCAGCATTTAAAGAGTTAAACAAATTGCTGTCACAACTTAATGAATTATAGCAAAAGTTTCAAAGTTACATTATCTATGGAATTATACTTATGAATTTATGCAAGGATATAGAAATTAGATGAGATACTTATAAATACGGTCTTTCTATTAAAATATTGAGAGTGCTTTTGTAGTCAACTCTCTCAATGATCAAGTAGACATTGGAGTTAGACCACTGGACATTACGGAAAGATGCATTGCTGCGAAGGTTGCTATCAGACTCTGGAAAACTGGACATAGTAAGGGCCCCCTTGACAGATATTCCGAAATCCGCTTTTCATTGCGCTTCAGCTTTTCACGGATGCATCAAAGGGGAAGGTTAGAGGGGAAGTCTTCTGTCAAGAGCTCTCAATAAATTTTTGTTTCAGAATGCCAGACCACTGTATTTAGCTATTTCCATATTAAACTTGTTTGGATGCCTGACTACAGCGGAATCGTCGGAAATTGTAAAGCAAATGAGCTTGCAAGAAAAGGCACTCATATCCAAATTCCATCAGGATGGGAACGAGCAGGGGTTCATTGTGCATCCGGGCGTTCGATCTATGGGCTTCGGGTGAGCTCAGCAAGTGGGGGTTAACAATCAGCACTTATGGGGTTGCTATCTCTTAGCAAGGCTCACATAGATACTTTCTCTTACACTGTCCAGCTTTCGTCAGCCCCAGGCTGGAGCATCTCAGTTGCTATACTTTTTACGAACCTGGCGAATCGGCTGGAGTAGATATTAGCCGCTTCAATAAATTTGTGGCATGCTCTAGGCGTTATGTCGATATGCGACGGTCGTTTCGATCCATACATAGGAGTTCTGCGCATCACAACGGTCAAGCGTCTATAGCAGCCTAAGTGGGATTAATCGTGGCCTAACGAGTAATCAGTCTATTTACCTAACTTAACTTAAGCAATACAAATGTGTTCATTAGCTGATAGATCTCAATAGTTTTATACGAAACTAGAAAGCTGATGAATATTGATTATTTTGTGCCACGAAGTTAAAAGATTCGTTGCCGAATATGAGGAATTCATCTCACAATATATAAATATTTATAAATTATTTAATATATTGATAACAAAAAATATACGGTCGTTTCCGAATAGAATACCTGAGATTAAAAATGCATAATCGCATTTTGAAAGAAGGAGGGAGGGAGCTTTTCATTTGTATATTTACATTTGCTTTATTGTCGTCACTAATGAAAATCTCTCAACTGCAATGAGTTATTATGAATATGGCGAAATATGCAAATTACCTGTCGGCTGCAATCGCCACCAGATGCAGTATGGACGCTGTGCAACAGAGCACATCGCACGAAGTCCAAATGTCGCATAGCTCCGGGCCAAGTATCCAACCCTCGCTAATCTGCATGAAAGACAAAAACAATACAATACATAAAACAAAGATTTAACGGTTGTTTAAATTTATATACGCAGCGTGTAAATATTTTTTGGTCGAGGGGCAACATGGAGTGAACTTTTTCATGGCAATATTCTTAAACAAATTTTATTTATTTTTACAAATTTTATTACCCCACCATATTCTGAATTTTGTAAGGATTACGCCAAAGTTAGGGAGACATTTTAGTAAGCTCTCTTCTCTGTTTTTTTAAGGTATCCCTATTAATATACATAAATCGCGATGTGAATGAGTAAAAGAATGATAATTTTAAATGATTTCCCATTCACTCTTCCAGCCCTTGCCGCAAACGGACAGCGATTTGCGCAAAGTTTATGCGACACTTACCTCGTAAACCGCACCGAGTGGCATCACCAGGCATGCCACCAACAAGTCGGCCACCGCCAGCGAGACCACCAAGTAATTGCCCAAATTCTGTAGATTGCGCTCCAGTATAATTGCCGCTATTACAAAAACATTGCCTGTTGCACACACACGCGCACCCACGCACACATTTAAATTTTTGTATTTTTGCATTGTTTCATATATCACCGTTGTTTCGAGTGGCACGTTTTAAATGTTTTATTTTCCGTTAATTTATAGTTGTCAACACAGGCGCCAAAAGTTTATGTTTCCCATTTGCATTTTTTTATTAGCACAATTCGCATTTATTTTATTTCACATTCCACATTTTTTGTTAGTTTAATTTGGATTTACGGACCGCATTGATATTTATTGCGTGCATTTTTTTATGTGAATCCAATTTGTTTGCGGGAATATTTGCAGCAGTGGGAGCAATAAAAGTGGCAACCCCATTTTACGGTGATGTTTATATATATAATTTAATGATTTTTGTATTTGTTTTGACGAAGTTATTAGCGTTGAATAATGCAGCGATGTTTAATTATCCGCAGCATGAAAAAGAGGGAAATCAAATTAGTGTAAAAATATGGCAATATTCTGTGCAAATATTATGGAGGTCTTCTTATTTGTGTACTTATTTGAAGCTTAATAAGTAATAAAACTAAACTGAATTACTTTTTATTGATAAAATAAATGGAGTTATCTCTCTTTCAGTCCACTGTATAGTTTATTTGAATTTCGAAATAAATTTAATTAATTTGAAATAAATTAAAAATTATCTAATTTATTTTCAGTGATAAATGATATTTTTTTCATGATGTCTCACATTAAATATTATACTTCACTTTTCATTAAAAGAGGTGGCAAGGTAGAATTTATGTGCTTCTGATAGTTGAACTGCTCAAAGTCCCACGACCCCTTGAAAATCGGGCGAAATAAAAAACTTTCCTTTAGGAGAATTTCTTCAATAAAATTGAACTGGTAAGATAGTCAGCCGACTTAGACAAATTTTTTGGTAAATTGGTTCATAAAGAGAAGTCTACGAAATAAAAATACGAAGTTTTTGAACAATATTAAAATGATAAATGTTACAGAAAATATCAACTAAAAACTGTTTTGAAATGACAGAAGACTGTCGTATTTCTGCTCGAAATCAGAGAGTTACCATCTGGTAAGAAAATGTAGTTATGAACAGCTGAGTCTGCAAAGTGAAGTAGTTTATAACTAGTTATAATTATTTGGCACTTATTAGTTTTTTCTGCTTTAATATTTTTTATTTATTTTTTAGCTACACGTGGTGTGTTCTCTTTCTTCAAGGATGTGCATGGATAGTTAATGCTTTTAACTGCATAGTTTTAGGCGCATTTTTTTGCAGTGCCTATCAAACTGTTACAAGTATACTAACATACGGGTGAAGCTATTAAAAACATTATACAATAAAAAGATTATTATCTTGAATTTCACCGGGCAGTTTGTATGGCAGATATATGCCATAGTGGTCTGATCTGAACAATTTGTTCGGAGAGTATAGTGTTGCTTTGAATAATAATCTATTCTAAATTTCGTGAGGATACCTCGTCAAATGAAAAAGATCTGAGAGACTCTTAAAAACCACTCTCAATGTTTTTTATTAGCATTTCTCTATTACTCGATTTGCCTACATAATAAGTAAGTATACTTCGCATATCTGTTATTTGTATGCATTCGCTCGTTGTCACAGCAACTGGCACTTAACCTTAGTCCAGGGTCAGTAAACACTTTTGCGCCAAACAGCCGTGAACTTTGCCGTAGCTGCTGGCTAAGGAAATTGATTTTGAATGTCACTGTTTCGGCTCTGTTTACAAATTCAAGTAAGTACTCTGGTGCTCAGCTATATGTAAGGTACACAGTGGCGCGATAGTGCCAACCCTATAAATAAATAATAAATGTGACTAAAATTTAAGAAAACAAAAATATGCACGTACGTATATGTACACAGCGTTGTAGCATTGACTGACTCATTCCTTTCACGTTTTTACGACCGTTTTATGTCTGTGCTCATAACGCAAAAATAACTTAGTACCCGAAGCTCATAACCTCTGAATAAACTGCTTCTTAATGTCGGACACAATGCATGCACACCAACACGCACATACTTATATGTATGTACACCGGCTGCCGCCATGTGCGAGTGTAAATCAAGACAAATAGTCCGCTTGTTTGTGCTAGTGCGCTCACAGCCCACCTTGGTGCACTTAATGACTTTTCGTTCAACTCAAGTCAACATGATGCAACATCAAATAAGGTGGCAACAACTCACATGCCACATGCAACCGATGCACTGCAAATACATCCACCAGCACAAATGCGCACAGACACACACATAAATGCTCCCGCATGTCTATTTATTGCAGCCTGCCACAAGGCGCCCTCACACACATATACACACACACATGCAGGCACGCAAACAAGTAATCTCAAAAGCGATTTGCTGTCAACACTTTCTCACTTCTTCGCAAACCCACAAGCTCACAAACACCCAAACTCAAAGTATCTGGGCTTGTGTGCAAATGACGCTCTTGTTGCCGTCGCATTCTCCAAACTTGTTCACATAAAAATGCAATTATGTGCGTGTATTGGTGTGTTGATGAATAAACTTTCGTTTTCATTTAGTTGATGGCAGTTTAACCTTGCCTAACCTCCAGTCCAAGCACACACTTACACACAGATATATATGTGCATATAAAGGGTTGCGCGGAATGGATTGAAGACAAAGGGAAATGGGTGTTTCTGGCAAATTTTCAAGGTAAGCAAGAGTAGCAAGTAGGTGGCTTTGGAGTTGAGAGTTATTCTGTCATTTTGTTTTAAGAAACAGTGAAGATCAAGGAAAAACGTTACACCAACACCGGTTTCAAATTAGTCTGCTACCTCTACTTGGAGTTGATACTAAAATTGGCCTCTGCGCATAACGACACACCCTGTGTATCCACTCGGTAGAGCTTCAGATGAGTGAAATATTTTAAGCTGAAATCTTGCGTTCCGGTAACACGTACAAATGCATATTTATTAGTGCATTCATGACTTTATGAATTCTTGTGTGCTCTTCCATGGCAATTCCATCCATATAATATTTTGTTTCTGAATTCAACGGGTTTCTTTTTTATTTCCCTCAATTAAATTTTTTTTTATATTTTTTTTTGTTTTAACTTTCAGTTTATGCTTCCTGTTGCATACACATGAGAAAGATTGGGGTTGAGCCATATGGGTTGGTCTCAAACCAGTCCATCAATCCACTTAAACAAATTACAGAGCATATCTGCTCAGATCAGGCAAATATGAGCGCTTTACAAACAATCGTGTTACGCCATATGGCTTAGAAATTCTCGTATATGATTTTTTACTGAATAACCGACAATTTTGTGATTGCTTGATTTATACTATGTTCCGACCGACACTTAATCACGAGTTTTAGGCTGTTGAGAATACCTATTAGCTCACTAATCTACTAGATTTGTATGACGAAAAGTGACACTTGTTAATCTCGTCACCGAGAAGATTTGAAGCTAATCTACTCGAATTTCCCTGTGCGACTCTGATTTAGCGCCATCTGTTTTTCAGTATTCAATATCACAGCTGATTTAGAAACTATAAAGAGAAAAATATTTAAACATTCAAATAAATTAAAAGCAATGTATCTGAATTCACCAATTCAAAAATATGTTTGGAATAGTAAATAGATTAAATCAAACCTTGTCACTTAAAATTTTTTGTTTGAACAGACGTTAAAGATAGACACCAGCAAAGAAAATATACGCCATATTTCACAGTTTTTCATCGATAAAGGCGAATATTACTTAATCAGTTCATTCTAACTATGTTAAATAACATATTAAATTTAATGGAAAAATGTACATTCGTTTATACTAGACGCACCCTCCCTTCGTCGAATAACACCCAACTTGTCTTGCGCATTGTCTAAAACCTTCCCCCAAGTGATAGAAGAAATCAACTAGCCAAGCTTTTGAAAAGAATCTCATGTGACTTTCTTAGCATAATGTCGCTCATCTTTAACAAAAAAAGCACCTAAGCTGTTTCATGTACGAGTATGTGTATATATTATTCGCATGTGCAAAAAATTTTATAATACTCTTTCAGGTTTTGTTACATATTCTAGTAGGACATGAAATAGTTTCTTGGCATCAGGCTAAAACAAAAGTCTGGCAGAAGTGAAACAATAAAGACACTGAAAGCAGTCAACAGAAGCTATGTAAAGTAAATAGTAAATATCTAAGTAAATAGTCGACTGCTATGTGATGGAGACATTGAACACGACAGTGCAGCAGAGATAAAAGGTATAGTCCTTTTTACAAATTTATCTTGCCGGTATTTTTGATTGTAAATTACAGTAAATCCAATTTGTTTCTAACATTTTTTTAATTCGTTTAATTTTTCGCCTTCTCTCTTCTTGAACTTAACATACTAGTCACATGGCTCATGACTTACAAATATTTCTGTTGGTTCGACATTTTTTCGTGCGGGATCTTGGCCAAAGTCTTTTGATAAGCCCAAAAACATTGACGTTTCAATAAATAAAATAAAAAAAAGTACGTGTGGCCCTCGGTGACTGCCGCAGTAAAGTTATTGTATTGCATTTTGTATCAACTTATGCAATTATAATTATTTATTTATTTTTAAGGCAGTATATTTTTGTTTTTCTTTGATATTAAATCAAGTTTTATTTTGATATTAGTTCAAGTTACACTTTTTGAGCGTGGTGATCGATAAAAAAACCATTTTTTTTCTTTTATTGAATAGATAATTAATATTGTTTAAAATATTTCTATTATTCTACAAATCATGTACGTTATTCAGAAATGTTTAACATAGAAACTATAGGTAACTGAAATACGAAGCATAAGTTTGAGGCTTGATATCCTCTAAGTATCTGGAAAAGACCGTGTCAATGGTGGTCAAATATTTTGTTGTGGATTCTTGTGGATCATTATTCATTTTCAAATTCAATTTTTCCGAAAGAAAAGTTGCTCTGATGTTTTATCAGCGAAGTTGATGTAGAAATCGCCAGCAAAGATATGCAAGTGGAATATTATTACCATTGATAATCCGAGATAATGTTCCAAAAGGATAAATTTACCAAAATAATAATAATAATGCTACTAATATTATGAGTCCGAATATTGAATAATTTATTTTCAATTAATTACACTTTTATTAAATATTAAAATATATAAAAATGTTTTTGAATCACTTGCTTTCCCTACAATTGAAACGGAACATTTGAATTATGCGAAAATACACCTAAAAGTATGCAAACAGTTTGCGCACACTTTGTGTGTTAGGTTCATTTCCGTTACAGAATTTATTGATTCAGTTCCCGCGCTCAAAACCTGCGTTAGAAGCTATGCAAGAGCTTAATAAAATAAATAACAGAAACGACGAGTATTTGAACAGTGTCTTCATGATTATTTTAATTTTCCTGGTTGATAGTTGAGCCGTTATAAATTAATTATGCAATATTTCATATATTAATTTAAAAAAATATATATATATGTGACCACATGAACGGATTGTGTATTAAAACTAGCGAATTGGCAATACAAATAATAATACTTCGCTGAGAAACTTAACTCTAAGGATTTCGCTGAAAAATTTAATATAAGGGCCTTAGAATATATAACATTACCATAAAGCAATTTTCTGTTATATTATTAAAATTCGATATAATAACAAAGTCTTAGTATGAAAAATAGCAATTCCATTTAGATTGCTATACTTCCTCGCTGTAAGGAGAGGGTTGACGCTCTACGCATGAAATCAAAAGCAAAACGAGTATACAAAAAGAACAACAAAACATATGTGAATAAAGTTATGAGAAAACATGAGCTGCACCAGGATTTTATGCTTGAAGGTTCTTTTTCATTTCGAGGAAGCAATTTAGGTCCATGCCTTTTATTCTCAGTAATAAGGTAGAAAAGTAATAAAAGAGAATTTTAGAATGAAACTAATTGTTTGGAAAACATTTCAAAAATCAGCAAATTATAAAGAAATATTGTATACATGTACATAGAACTACTGCAAAGCAAAAAAAACGTTGTGCTTTTCTGCTGTCTGGGGCTGGTGAATTAAATTTAATTAATGCAAATTCTTATATAAACATTTTATTATACATATGTACAAATATACTTCTTTCGATTTCTTGATTTAGACTCTGAGCTCAGAAAAGTTTAGCAGTTTCTCAAATTGTGAACCCCCGTAATGCATTGAATATAAGAAGTATTGAATAAATTTAAATACTGCCAAGTCCTTTGCATAAATTCGAAGTATATAAAAGTCTAAAACACACGAAGCGATGAACTAAGAAAGTTGTTTTTCAATGCAGCAAACGATTAGCAAAAGATTTGTATTTCAATTGGAATTTGGCAATAAAATCTGACAATGTATGGAATCTTTAACGCTTCACTATCTAAAGCAATACAGTACTTTCTTACTTTATATATAAAACAATAATGAATATATAGGAACTTTATATTTCTATAAAACTCATATACACACACACCACGAAGTATTTTTGTACTTTTATTGTGAATTTAATTGAAATAATTCTGAATTTTATGTGTTAAATGGCTTGGCTTTCAGTTAATTAATTTCACAAAGAGCCACGCAAACCACAGTGTTTGAATCTAAATGTTATGCAATATATATTTACAACACTCGTGACACACGCTTGTTTTGTGACGTGGTAGCATTTGACAGAAAATCGATTTTTATTGTTTATAAATAACACAAAGCTTCTGCATAGATCTTATGTATACCTGATAAGAAGTCGCTAATTTCCTTTGAGAATTTGAATACTCACAGACTTTAGTATTAGAAGAAATGAGAAGAGCTAACTGAGCAAACGACTTTTCTCCTATTATCAGCCAGACAGTATATTTATCTCTAGCAAAAAAGTCATATATGTTATGTCAGTTCAGTTCCAAGAGGACTTATCAGCGCATGTGTGAATTATTTTAACCATTTTAAACAAAGGAAACTCATATGAATATAAATATCAAGTTACTGAAGTTGAAAATTTGCATGAACTTAAACAAATTTATTCTTTCTGATGCACTCGCAGTCTACACCTCTCAACTCTTTTCTAAAGCAATTAATGAATGTGTAGAAGTAATCAGCCACACACACACTCATACACTTGTATTATATGCATTTGTTCGCCAACTACTCACCTATTATGGTTATGAAGATGAGCAGACCCAACACAATGGACATGACTATCATTTTCACCATCGCCACCGTCGGATCTCGGGTTCTGAAGCCATCGCCATAGCCCATAATATCATCCAGTTGCTGGTCATCAAACTCATTACGCTCACCTATAAACACATCAACAATATTGTTACTGGCATTCCGCATCCCGCCGCTGCTGTTAAATGTAATGAAACCGTCAGTGTTGCCACCATCGCCCAGGCTCAATAAAATGTTGTTGCTGTTGCTCAAGTTGCCGCTAGTTCCATTCAATACAATTTGATATGCGCTCGTTTCATTGGCGTCGAACAACATTGATGTAGCATTGCTGTACACTTTGTTGTAGATGTCGTAGTTGTCCAAGAGGGGTGCATGCAGGTCGGTGGCGGCGCCGTGCACCACAGGCGTCTCAACGTCCAGGTCGGTGTAGAAGTGTTGCGTTGTACTCCAAGTTGCGATTGACGGTGAAATTATATCACCCAGCATATTGTTGCTGGCCTGCTGGCCTGTTGGCGGGGGTGTGTGCGGGGGTTGTGGGAGGTAGTGCTGGTGCTAGGTGGAGATGACTGAAGTCGCTATCGATTGAATTGGCTGCTTCTGTTTAATGTGTAGTTGTAATGCTGCCTCTTAATGGTACTGATATTATTGTGGTTGTTGTTATTGTAGTTACAGTTGTAGTAGTTGTAGTTGTTATTGGTGGTCTTATTCGTCGAAATGTTTTCACTAGCTAGCGTTATTGTTATTGATGCTCTCACGTTGCTTGTTACGTCAGCTCCTTATGCTGTCTAGCAGTTTATTGCTATTGAATTATTATCGTCTCATGGTTCTCATTTGCTCTGACAAGTCTTGCCGTTGAATGATTTTCAATGGACAGCATCTGTAAATGTAAACGTAAACGTTAAGAGAGGCGGTGCACATAAGTAACTGGTCCTTGAACAGAAAACGCTTCACTGGATTCTCGAAGAAAATATGAGCTCTCAGGTAAGATTTTTATTTCAATGGAAATGCAATTTAATTTAGTAGAGAAAATTTAATACTCGAGCCATAAAAGTTTATAAATACAGCTGAACCCAGCAAAAATAATATTTGTATTATGGTAGATTAATTATGAATAGTAGAGTTCCCACAAAATAAGTCTTTCTAGCAAACTTGAACATAACCATAAAAATAACTCTCTGGAGACTTTTGAAAGTGAAGAATGCCTTTAATATTTGCCTACATTTTAGCGTCTGAAATATTCGAACCTATCACAACTCTTTTACTCAAGCAAATGCTACCAAAAGTTTTTACCTAAAATATTTAAATACGCGTCGAAGTGAATTGGAAATTCCACGTAAATTTCTTAAACGACCATACGTACGGATACATATATAACTATGGTATATAGCCTGCATAACTGCATATAGGAGCATGTATGCAATGTATGTAGTATAACGGAGTGTGTTTGTCGGCTTTGAGGATTTGATTTTCGTGTCTTGCCGCTTTGCGCCACAGGGTGACATTTTTATATCCCGAGTGCACATTGCGTGCACTTTTCGCATGAAACTTATTCATATATGTATAAAGAGATTAACCGTTCTTGTTGCGCCGCTGCGTTGCAACAAGTGCAACAGCAACTGGAAATATGACGATGACATCCTCAACTGTGAATCTCTGATAGCATGTGGGACTGCGAAGCCACGCACTGTGGGTACTGCTTGGAGAGTAATTCCGCGAAAATTCTTAGCTTTTTGCGATCTTCTTATGTATTCTTATTCCTAAAACTAGAGAAACTCATATATTTGTTCAGTGGAAAGTCTATGCTTCAATTAACATTATAGGAAACATGAAAAAACGGTAACGTCGGTTGCTTGATTTTTATTGATTAGAGCGTGAAGAGAAAACGAACGCGTGAAAAACTGCAGATCGATATCACAAAAACAGAGGACTAGTTCGCGTATATAACGAGGGACCGACGGATGGGAATAGCTTAATCGACTTAGCTCGTCACGCTGAACATTTATATATATACTTAGTAGGGTGACTGGCGTTTCCGTCTGGGTGTTACAAACATCGTGGCAAACTTAATATAACCCGTTTGGGGTATAAAAGGAGTCCTCCAACCGTAAAATGGATAATTTTGTTATTAGTGTCTTCAATTGTCTTTTAGTCTATTTTGTAGGCATGAAGGCTTCACAAGTTTGTTTATGTATATTTGTTGTGAACAGAAAAAAAGAAATTTCTTTAAGTAAATATTTGTGTGCGACACCAAACACCAATGTGTTTAATAAGTTACCGTTTAGAAAAGGTCCACTGTAGCAGCATGCAAGAGCAGCTGTCGAAAGCGCTTGGGGTGCTTATTAATATTTTATTCTCGACTACTTTCATGTTTGCTTTCATAGCTATACCTAATGAATAGATGAATACATTTTCCACCACTCAATTTTTACGTTTTTCTACAGTATACATATTAATGAAATAATATGAAGTTATGTAGTTATATATACTTGTAATCCCAGATCGACAAGAATATAAATTTAACAGGTATTTCTTTCTTTATTTCATGTTATGATGAATCAGTAAAACATTTATTTAGGATGGTGTTATTAAAATTTTAAACAATTGATAACAAGTAAGAGCTAGCTTGTGTCTTTTAATATATACATTTGTAGTTGAAAGTACACCCATAAGCCTTAGCGCCACATTAATCGCACAACTGTGGCTGCATATTACGTATACGCCAGAGTGGCCAAAATAACATTTAATTTTTGTTTGAACACAGCCAATGCCTCTTATCATTATACTAAAAGCTTCGTTTTTGATAAGGAGAGCTTTAGCTTATATGCGGTTTCTCAGAACTTTAATGCTTACTTTCCACTAACCTGATTGCATCTCCGCCATTCTTCTTATTTGAGGAGACACAATAGCATCATACGTATTTCTTTCCGGTCTTACCTGAGTCATGCTTTGAAAGCTATTGTGTTAGAGAGTTTTCACTAAGATGTCGTATAAAATAAAGCAAATGCTTCTGTATGCTTAGTTTCTTTCACTTTTAGCTGAGAATCCATGTTGGTCATGACGAAATCTTTGAAGATTCAGCTGAACATATAAATTATAGACGCTTGGAAAATGCTGCTAAAACATTTCAGCCTTCAAGTTAAAGTACAAATACGTGAAGAGGAAGATTCTAAGATGGAAGCAAATGGCCAAGAAATTTCAGTGGGTTTTGCTGTTGGGTAAAACAATATTGTAGGCAGAAATGCGTGAGGTAACACCTGCTATATACCTGCGTAGCTGTATGTAAAAATCAAGACGTCGATTGTGGCTTAGGTCATTAAGACAGCCAAACACAGATTTCTATTGGAAGGCGAGCGTACAATGATTGAAGAGCTTACCTTTATTTAATTTTCGGTATGTAGGTAATTTTGTCCCAGTATTTGTTTGTACGAACGAGCCCTCGCTTGGTGCTGTTCATGTATGTGTGCAGCTTTTCTCCAAAACTATTTGATATGCCGATCTAGCGACCAAAGACTCAATCTTTACGTTCCACTTGCTCCTGCTACTACGAGCACATTGTGCCGCCGCTTTGGTCATTCATGGTCACGGTCTATGAATTCACGATTGACTTTTAGTTTAGGTCTGTACAATGTACGTGTCAGCGCATATTGTTGTTTTTGAGACGCTTATTGTTTTGGTAGCAAATAAATTCGTATGAATCATGGGATCTGCTAGGCAGTGAACCATCTCGCAAACCAAACAAAAAATAAGTGTATAGAAGGTTTTGATTTTTTAGATTTCCTCGCACTTTTTTGTGCAGAAGATTTGTCAAAAAGAAGGCAAAGAATGCGAATAGAAAATCATTAAAATGTAAATTACCGTAAACAAACAAATGGCTACAGCCGAAGAATTTTTTTGGTTTTTTATTTCCCAGCGTTTGTTTACGCAAAACAATGTGTGCGTCCATGCCGACAACAAATCGTAAAACTATATTTTTATTGCCGTCAAAATAGTAATTCATTTTGGCAATCCCCTAAGCCTCATGGCTTGCCAGTTTATAGATAAACTCACTTTTTAATTTAAGAAACTATTTCTTTTAATATCATTTTCATTTTTTTATTCATTAGTTGGGCAATTGAACTGAACAACAATACCAAATATTGAATATTGCTGGAAATTTTTTATAAATATACAATCCCTTTACAAAGTGAATATATAACTTTATTTAAAATTTTAAGTTTTTAAAGTCTTGCATTTTCACTTTCATTATTTAATATGGTAGATGCTTCTAAAATATTTTTGCTCCTGCTGAGAATTTATTTTATTGTGGTTCGTAATGAATTGTTTATTATGAGCTCACTTGTAGGCAATTTATATTATTTAGGCATGGAAAAGAAAAATGGATTTCCTAACAAAAGCGCTCGACCAAAAGATGATAGGACGTGAAACGAAAGTACTTGAATATTAGTTTTAATGAAGCTGAAGTTGAGTACTCACCTAATGGCTTTAATGCTTCAGCTGCTGCGGTAAATGGCTCTTGATTATTTTTTTGACTGCTTTTTTAGATTCTGGTATTTATTCTTAGAAAGAATGCTAATATTTCGATTTTTGTTTGTTCATTTGGAATTTCCACTAATCCGTTTGTGTAGAATATATTTCTTAGGTATAGTTTTTAGTAATATTATATATATGTACGCATGCTTATTTTATTTTGGCTTAAATTTATTCAATTCCTTGACTGTATAGGTACAGAAGCCGCGGTTCGTTGTCACCGTAACCGTCAGCGCGTTTACTGAAAGACACTTCAATTTTCTACACATGCACTCACACATACACACACAATTGCACGCGCCATCCATGCGCTTAATCAATGCAAGCTACACTAACAATTCTAGAGCACTTCAGTCGCATGGGTGATTAGATTAAACACTTAAATTTGCTTATTGTACGAAACCATCGGCACCGCGTCGGTGTGGCCGCGAATTGATTTTATCAGCAACTTGTTTTCCAGCTTTACATCGTGCGTTTAGCGCGCGAATGCTTTTGGCAAACAGCACAATGGAAGAATGCATGAAATGAAATGGAAATACCACAAAATGCAAATAATGCCCTTAAATATGTAAATATCTGTGGCTGTGCGACCGAGCGGGCGAGCATCCGTTCAAGCGACCGTGTGAATTGGCTGGCGGCGATACTTCTTGTCGATTTATTCACCTCAACTCGTGCTGAACGTCAGACCAACTGCGCGTCTACTCAATTCAATTGTGCGTCTGTGCTGTTGCTGTTGTCGATGTTGCTATTGTTGAAAAAGTTATTGTGGCCAACTGACAGCTGTTACACACACTCACACGAACTCACACCGTTGACACTCAGCTGTTCTGTTTTGTAGAGTTTTTTCCACTTGACGCAAACGCATGGAGCCTTGATTTTCTCAGCTCGAGAGAGCGCATTTCGTATGTCGCTCTGAGAATTTTCCGTACATGTTCGAATTTCGAAGTAAAAGCGCTCTTAAATATTTCTGCTATTCTCTTATAAAGCTAGTCTACAAAATGTACTCCACAAAACGAACGCACTTTTCGAACTATCCAATTCCTTTTTACCGCCCAAGTGTTGATTGCGAATCTGCAAAGATCCGAAACTTTTCACTTCATTGCCGCCGCTGGTGGCCAATACTCGTCTAATAAGCAAGAAAGATAGCGCAAGACATCACTTGTGCGTTAATAGTTTTGCCTGATAGTATTATCTGCCGTTGTTTCTTTAATTGTTGTGACTTCCAACGCTTTAATAATTACTTTGATAGCTAACTCGAATCCCTTTTCCTGCTGCCTGCTTCCGCTTATTTCTTAATTAATACACAAACCATAGGATCCTTGCGGTTGAGTTATTACAAGGGCGTGTAAACGCAAAGAGCTCTTATTAGGCTGCGAGAAATCGTATATAATCTGTTTCCTGTTCGTGTGCAGGTTTAATTTCAGATAATGCAGCCGCCTATAGTAGAAGTGAAAAATGTAAAATACCTAGTTTCAAGGCAATAATGAGATAATATTAATATCAACTAAATTACGCAAATATATATATTTGTTGGAAAAGGAAATTTGAAAATTTAGCAAATAATTTGATTTTCATATTTGACATGAATTACACGCGACGGGTTGCACTGATTAATGTGAAAATGTTTACCTTTAGTGTCAGAAGTTTTAAAACGTCAATCGACAGTAGAAAATGAAAACAAGATAAAACATGATATTTGGTTGCACTTATTTATAAAACCCTTCACAAATAAAAAAATTCAAGAACTAGAGCTTGAATATTCAGTTTGTATTGCAGCTATACGCTATAGTGGTCCGATATAATCGGTTCCGACAAATTAGTAGCTTCCTGAGGAGAAAATATGTGTGCAATTCAGATCGTTATCTCAAAAACTGAGGGATATCACGGTGATCGTTTACAGATAAAATTTATAAGGTCTCCAACATTTCCTTCAGGTAAAGGATTTGAGGTTGATCATTTGTTTAGTATTGCAGCTACATAGTGCTCCGATATTGGTGGTCCAATAATATTAATCATTCGTAGATATTCTTTACAGGTTCACCGACCTTTCGTTCAGGGTGTAACAAACTTCGTGACAAGCTTAATATACCTGGTTTGAAGTATAACAAACAAAAGTTGATGTTAGCGTTGCCCTATTTGTCACCGAATAAAGGCAAGGGTCTAGTTGTTAAAATTATTTATTTTGCGGTAGACAGCGCTGACCATAAAAACAATAGTACTTAACTATACCATAAAACAAAAGTACTGAAGCAACAATTATAACAGCTGTTTTTGTTACACTAATGACATATTGATCGCTCATTACCACTTTTATGTGAAATTTAACTAAACTAATAGTACAGTTATATTTTAGAAATATCATATCAGTAAATATAAAAGATATATCAACAAAATTTGGGGAGATTAGTATGTCGTATACTATGTGATTTCTTAAGTGAAACACCTAAGCTTTATTATCCAAGTAGTGTAGGGTAGTCTACAAATTTCTTCAAGGAAGCTTTAAAATACACTAATGTGTTATTAGACAACTTTATTCTCAACAGCAATTAACACAAATCACTTCAGCAATAAATTAGTTAAAGATTGTCAAAGTCATGTTTTACATGTAAACCCAACCAGGAGATGGTGGGCTACGGCAGTATTATTTTATAATTACTCACTCTGTTTTCGAATGAGTTTACTTGCAAATATTTGATTAATTCGCTCAAATGCCAGCCAATTGTCGTTCATAAATCATCGGTGAACACTGTCATCTTGTGAACACAAATCGAGTCGGTTTACAAAGTTTATTTGCTACTAATTTTCTTGTAAAATTTACATTGCGCATTATCGAATTTACTCACTCGTCGGTCAGACTCACAAACTCGTATTTATTCAGGCAGGTGCGTGCGGCTGATGCTGATAAATGATAGGTGTGGCAACCACATGCAAGCAAGTGTGCAAATATTTAGTATTCCATGCAAGCACTCGTGTGTGTGCGTGTGTTGTGAAGCGGCGAGTGCACTGTTGCAGACTGTTCTTGCTACTAATTATGGAAATTTATGCATATTTGTGCAAATATTTGCATATACTGTATATATTAATACATAAACATTAGTGTAAGAGAGATTGTGCATTTTCAATTAAGCTGGCAAGCCGGATGCCTTGGGTGAGTGCGGCCCGGACTTGCTACCATCATTGCCAATAGCATTCCATTCGCCGTAACTGTCCACTGCCTTCTATTATTATTATTTGGTAAAACCGCAGAGGGAAAGGGTAATATGTAAGGATTAAAGAGCTAAGCTGGCTGGTCTGGTAGGCTCGAACTTAAATTACTGCAATTGGTGTAAATATGAATGTACTACAATTTATCTTTATGTTGTATGGCATGTTAAAATAGAGCGCTCGCTGCTCTTAATTTCTAATTTCGTGATTTTTTTATTTTTTTTTTAAATAGTTACTCATACGTCGTTGGTGACTGCCCTGAAGTGCTCTTGATATATGAGTGTAAAATATAACATAAAACCAAGAATGTCAAAGTACGCCTTTAGAATTCAGTTCGTCTAGAAATAATTTGTTGAACTTAACAAATATTTGTTTGTGGCTGGTATGTAAACGCGAAAGCACCACAACGCTTTAAATAATACATGTATTCGTGAAAATATATACATTAAAATACATTAAGTCTGCGCTTTTTGCATGCCAGCTTTGCTTAATTCAATTGTTCACTTACAATTTGTCGAATACAATGCAACTTTATTCAGTCTGATTATTTTATTACAGCCGCAAAGCCGGCCATCAACATATTAACGAATTGAATATTTGATGAAACATTTTGAGCGCTTTTCCAATAACGAATTCAATTACAAGGACAGCCGAATGCGAGCAAAAGGAAATTACGTGCAGCAAAAGTTGAAGCAGGTTTTTCAGCTAATACACATATTTCCGGTTGCCAATAGCTGCGGCTATTGTCTGACACGAATTACATATGTATGTACCGATTGTTCACTATTCACATACACAACGAACACTTTCGTGTATGGGCATGTAGAGTTAAAAGAATTTGAATATGTTGAATGAAAATGCTTGATGAATTTTTGTCGGCATTTTTATGTTCGAAGCACACCTGTCACTCACGAGACGGAATATATACGGAATGCAAAAACAATCGCAGAGGAGCCTAAATTGATTAATTTTCTCTCCGCACATGTGGTCACTATCACGTTTTTTATACACCCACCCACATATACGGACGCAGTAGTATTTATATTAAATAGAAGCTATTTGCAAAAGAGTCAGCAGGAAACCTAAATTTTTAATTGACCATTTAGAAAGGTGTGAATTTGTAGGCCTTAAAACTAGTGGTAGAGGGAATAACAATTATCGCTTAAGAGTAAGTATTTGGGCTTACACCGATGTACTAACGCTTTCCTTATATCTCGTATATGTTTTCGTTACCTCTGTGCAAGGAGGTAGACTCGCGTCGTATTATCAGCCGCATTACATTCTGTTTGGATGATTCCTTGCAATTGATTATTTATTTGCAAAACTGAGGACACTTTGTTCTTTAACTTTTGAAATGAAACGGAGTCAGCTTCTTCTCTTACCTGAATCTGGAATAATTCATTATTTCTATTTCTTTCGCGACAGCACGAACTTTTAATAATTTTCACTTTAGTGCTACTTTGCGGAGGGGTTCGCCCATATTCTTGCCTCAATGGGGTTGCATATTCAGTGAATACGCGAAATTTCTTTTCACTTATGAAATTCCATTATTAGTTTCCTCTTGTCATATTTTCTTTTTCCTATGCCGTCCTTCGCCGATTTCAATAGCGCACATTTCTCTTATAGAATTACCGAAAAATACCTGAGCATTCTTAGCTAACTTTGTCGCATTATTACTTTGCAAGAAAGCAATTTTTATAACTTTACAGAGAAATGCGCTCATGTGGCAGCCATCAGCGACATACGCATGCTTCATACGCTCGCAACATGCTGCCTAGAGTAGAATTCTCTGTTGGCCTAAAGGCTGTTTATGGCACCATAAAGTAATCGGAGTATCTGTAGAGTAATATATATCAAAATGTTCGTAATGATAAAAAGTTTCAATCTCCGGATGTCTGGTTATTTCTCTGTCCATAGTAAGCATTCACTTTCTTGTTTTTTGACAATAGCAAATCCTGAAAACACGTGAAATTTTCTCTATAAGTTTTACCGACATCTTGATGTAGATCAAACGGCTTCAATTCACACGTATAACACTCCGGCTTAGCCCGGACCAATCCTCTGCTTACTTGCTATGTATGTACATATGTGCATGATCTTTTTTTAGTCAACTGGAAGTAAAGAATATGTTTAGCCAAGTTATGCACAGCAGGCATCGCAGGAATTTGTTACTTGAACGTCACTTTCATTAAGTCAACACGACAGGACATCGCAATAGCGGCCACAATAGCTGGCAGAAAAATCTCAGAGCTCAATGAAAAAATGAGAAGAAAAGCGAGAGAACTCATAAACGTTTAAGAGCGCGCTAACTGCACTTCCACAGTTACATGACACAGAGTAATATTGAATGTGTAAATCAAGTTCCAAATTTATATTTATTTCAGCAATTCTTCATATTCTGGTGAAATAGCTTCTTGTCGAAAGCGGAGGGATTTCTAAAACTGTACGGGAAGAGTTAATAACAGACATGTTCAAAATTTTATCAGAAATAGTCTAGAGATATGCATGGTTTATTTTAAATAACTTGCTGAAAGGTAAGATATCTGCATACATTTCACCACAAACCAATTAATATTTCGTTGTACAGACGGCAATGGCTTTCACGGCGTATAAGAAAATCCATTTTATCTTGTTATAGTTAAACAACAAACGCACGCATTAACATTCAATCGACCTTGAAGAGTATGCTTTAGGTTAGCTTACAATTATTGTATCATTTAAGATCTTGCCTCGTTCAATTTTCATACACCCTGTGTACACCCTGAAGCCAATTTTATTCTTTCAAAACCGGCCCTTAGCTGTTCGTATGCCATCCATTCATCTATACTACAATATTATTTAATTTGTTTCGTGTTGTTGTTGCTCTGGGTTCTTGAAAGTATATTTTTGTTTGTTGCTGCCATTGCTGACTTTCACACATTCCATTTAATTCACTTTGTCAAATAAATTGTTTCACACGCATATGTTACTGCTTTTGTTGTTGCACTAATAACACTTTGAATGTTTTTCTTTCTGCTTTGCTGCGTTTTCACCGCTCAGATTTAGTATGCTGTGTATACTTAGATCTTTAAAGACAACAACGAAGTTTTCTAAGGTTACTCGACGATACTCCCCCTCTCTCTCTCGCTCCCATACACTTGCAAGTATTGATGGTCAAACACTTTCTCACACTCGCTGGAAAATATGAAGCCGAGGCGATAGTAGGCCACTACGCCTTAAGTGCTTCAATAAATTCTTGCCAACTTCTTTAGTGTCGGTCATTTGTTCGTTTACCTTGGCTGGGGCATAAATACCCGCACACACAAACACAAACAC